GAACTGGAGGAGCTTTAAGGTCCCTTCAACCGCAACCAGTCTGATTCTGTTATTTTATATCTTTCCTTAGGCACCCAAAAAGAATGTCAAGAAAAAAGGGGCCGCAAGCAAAGGTCCAGCAGTGGAGGATGCCTTGGCCCCAGGGGATATGAGCAAGGAGGAGGTGAGAGACACCCCATCTCCCAGCCCACCTCTGGGCATGTGGACATTGTGCTTAGGACCCCTGCTCAGCGCCTGTCTCTGGGGACAACAGGTGGCAGAGGGTGATGGAGACAAGCAGCCGGGTTCCTTTTGCTGCCTGTCCTCATCTGGGCTATGGGGGGAGGTTGTCCCTCTTCCTGGAAGGAGCAGACACCTCATCCTACCCTCCTTGCCATTACTCCAGGGCGCTCTGCTCTCCAGCCCTGTGCCCTTGCTGTCTTCTTCCTGATTGCATAACCCCAGCATCCAGGTGATGGCTCAGCACAGAACTCTGTTCTGCAGCCTTCTGCTCTCCTGGTCCCATTGCCGCTGGGGCAGGAGGCTCCCATAGGTATGGGGAGGGCAGGTAGAGGGGGAAGGTAGCAGCTGCTGCCCCTCAGCTGCTTCAAATCCCACTTGTATTTCTGGGTGTCGTACAAACAGAAGAGGAGGTGGCCCTGGCCTGGGGATCTTGCTCCTGCTATAAGGTCTTACACATCTTGGTGTAAGCAGTGTGCCCACGTGGTCAAGAACATCCTGGACTGAGTCAGCACTAGTGTGGCCAGCAGGACTAGGACAATGATAATCAGCACTGGTGAGGCTTCACCTCGAATCCTGTGTTCAGTTCTGGGCCCTCACTACAAGAGAGACATTGAGGTGCGGGAGAGACATTGAGGTGTCAGAGAAGGGCAACGGAGCTGGTGCAGGGCCTGGAGCACAAGTGTGATGAGGAACAGCTGAGGGACCTGGCATTGCTCAGCTTGGATTAAAGGAGGCTGAGTGGGGACCTTTTTGCTTTCTACAACATCCTGACAGGAGGATGTAGTGAGGTGAAGGTCAGTCTCTCCTCCCAAGTAACAAGTGATAGGACAAGAGGAAACATCAAGTTGTGCCAGGGGAGGTTTAAGTTGGATATGAGGAACAATTTCTCCCGAAGAAGGATTGTGAAGCACTGGCACAGGCTGCCCAGGGAAGCGGTGGAGTCATCATCCCTAGAGCTATCTAAAAGCTGTGTGGCACTTAGGGGCATGGTTTAGTGGTGGACTTGGCAGTGCTGGGTTAGTGGTTGGACTCAATGATTTCAAAGACCTTTTCCAACCTAAATGAGCCTATGATTCTACGATTCAGGAGTATTTAGGCACCTGAGAATGGTGTTACTGGACATGAATACACAGAATACCGAAGCCCAGGCTGCCTACAGTAGGACAAGTTTTTGTTACTGCTTTTCCAGAGGCTGATGGGTTGTGTCAAGCCCAGGATAGGTCAGGGCTCCTCTACTTCTCTCCTGCTCTTCTTCATCCCAGTAACTGCCACTGTGTCCTGCCAGGTTTGCAACATGGTTTGCCATGGGCCTCTTGGCAAAGGCACCTCTCCGAGACCTCTCCATCCCCCTCCCTGACTCTTCCTCTCCCCTTTGCAGCTGGAGAAGCACGTTATGCGTCTCCGGGAGGAGCTGGACCGGGAGCGGGGAGAGCGTAACTATTTCCAGCTGGAGCGTGACAAGATGCACACCTTCTGGGAGATCACCCGCCGGCAGCTGGAGGAGAAGAAAGCCGAGCTGCGCAACAAGGACCGCGAGATGGAGGAGGCGGAGGAGCGGCACCAAGTGGAGATCAAGGTGGGATGGGAGAGGGCTCCAGGTGAGCCTTGGGCAGCCTGAGGAGAAGAGGGAAGAGGCAAAAGGAGGAGGAGCTGGGTGGGATGTGAGCCAGGAGCATTTTAGCCAATATCCCAGCTCTGGGTGTCTTCTGCTGAAGCCCTTCAACTGGTCTGTGGCTTGTCTTTAGGTTTACAAGCAGAAGGTGAAGCACTTGTTGTACGAACACCAGGAAAACCTCACTGAGCTGAAGACAGGAGGCATCCTGTCCATGAAGCTGGCCCAGAAGGATCACTGGGCCCAGGAGATGGAGTTGTGGAAAGAGAAGTGCTCCTTGAAAGTGGAGCTGAAGGAGCAGGAGCTGGCCCATGAGGCGGTGTTGAAAAACAAGCACCTGGTATGTCCCCAGCTGGGATGGAGCTCTGTGTCAGGTGCCTCTGCTGCACAGGGAGGTGGTGGGGCTGCAGGCTGAGCCCTCTCAGCCCCAGCATGTGAGCAGGAGCCCTCCCAGCTCTCTCTATGGGATGGGATGGGGTTTTCCACAGACACCAGTTACCAATGCACTTGGAGGCACTAGAAAGTGCAGGATCAGGGAGGAGGGATTCCTGGGGCAGCTCCTGTGAAGGAGGAGGAGGGAGCTACGAGAGCAGCTGGAGAACCTATGAGATGCTGTTTGCATGGATAATGTGGGATTGGTGCCACGGCAGCAGCCTTTCCCAGGGAGCAGGAGGGAATCCCTTGGGATGTAGTGGACTCAGGATTTGGTTGTCTGCCTCTAACATGTAGCTTCTCCCTAACAGAAACAAGAGCAGGAGATCACCCAGCTGTGCAACGACTTTGAGAGACAAGTGAGAGGTCAGAATGTGTGTGAGCTCCTTTTGTCATTGTGCTGGGGAAGGCTCCTCCAAGCCTCCCAGCACAGCCTCGAGTAGAAAGGGGATGGTTTTCCCCCAGTTCTGGTCAGTTCTGCCGATCCCTAGCATCACACAAACAGAATGAGGCCGGGTGCCTGTTGTGTGGGCTGCAGAGTGCAGGCAAGGGCGCCTGTGGCTGCTGCCTGGCAGCTCTGCTCCACTCAGTGGGGTGGCTGGAGGAGCCGTTACGGGGGGGAGGAGCCGTTACAGAGTCCTCACTCCACTGTCCTCCTCGGGGGACGTTTTAGGTTTCTCATGGGCTGACTTGGAGCTTTTCCATGCCCTCTTTCCAAGGATGCTATTTCTGGGCTCTGCTCCGCGTGGTCCCAGCATAACTGCTCCACAGGCTGGTGGCAGCTGCGGTGATGCTGCTAACGGGGGCCTTGTCCTCTGGCTGGTGCTGGCTAACGGAGCAGGGTCTGCGGGAGATCCTCACCCAGCCCCTCTGTGCTCCCCCAGAGATTGAGGCCAGGTACACTGAGAAGATGCATGTGCTGCGGAACGAGCTTGACTTGCGGAGGAAGACCGAGATCCATGAGGTGGAGGAGAGGAAGAACAGCCACATCAGTCAGCTGATGAGGAACCACGAGAAGGCCTTCAACGACATGAAGAACTACTACAACGACATCACCCTTAAAAACCTGGATCTCATCAGCTTGCTGAAGGTACTGCCAACCCCCCTGCCACCAGTCTGGACTGCAGAGTGTCACCCTGCTGCCATGGGAGCGGTCTGGGAGGATTTCACCTGGATCTGGCCAGTTCCCAGGTGGTGATGCAGGTGCTGCTGGTCTCCTGAAAGTTGTACAATACACTGTTACACGAGCAAAGCTCTTGAGCCCAGAGAGTTGTGCTTGCTGGGCCAGCAGCAGGAGAGTGTCTGACAGTGGGGGAAGCTCTGAGGAGCTGGGCAGCCCCTTGGAGTTGGCACTTGTGTTCCCAAGAACAGGAGCAGATGGAGGGCTTGCGCATTAGAGTGGATCACTTGGAAAGGGAGAAGGCAGATGCGCTGCTCCAGAACAAGCAGCTGAATGAGTCCCTGCAGCAGGCCCAGGAGCACATTTTTGAGCTGGAGAAGAAGCTGGTCCGCTATGACAAGGACAAGGAGGCCCTAACAGTGAGTGGCCAGCCCTGCCCATTCCCAAGCCGCCCTGTCTGTCCTGGAGGGAGTCACTCAGCATGACCTCCACCACTTAGCTTGGCTGGGTCGCTGAGCAAAGTCAGTCCCTTTCAGCTTGTCCGAGTGCTTGTGAGATCTCAGATGGGATTCCCAGAACTCTGAGCAACCAGGGGGCAGGGAGATGGTGTGGATGCTTCTGCCTGTCTTTTCCCACCATGTCTCTGCTGGTCACTCTCCTCTTATGCCAGAACACATCTCCCACACCTCCCAGAGAAACTCCTGCTCTTTAACTGTCTGTTCCCGCTTGCAGAATGCAAAAGCCCATCTGAAAATCACCCAGAAGGAATGGAAGGATCTTCAGTGGGAACATGAGGTGTTGGAGCAGAGATTCAGGAAGGTGAGAGCTGCAGGTGGGTCTGGGCATTCCGCTTCTCTCTCCAAACTCTGTCCCTGCTGCAGGGGACTGAGCACGGGGGCTTAGCAGGAGAGTGCGCATAGCTGAGGGCTTTCCAAAGCTCTAATCCAGAGCCGTGTGATAACTGCTGCTCCCAACAAAGCTTCTCCCAGCTTTGGCCTCTCCCACAGTCAGCAGACAGGCCTGGCCTTGTACTTTGCTAAGCAATCATGCATGCTCTGGTGGTCGCTGCCTGGCCGGAGAGGGACTGTGACCGGGGGGCTTAGCAGGAGAGTGCGCATAGCTGAGGGCTTTCCAAAGCTCTAATCCAGAGCCGTGTGATAACTGCTGCTCCCAACAAAGCTTCTCCCAGCTTTGGCCTCTCCCACAGTCAGCAGACAGGCCTGGCCTTGTACTTTGCTAAGCAATCATGCATGCTCTGGTGGTCGCTGCCTGGCCGGAGAGGGACTGTGACCGCAGCAGCGCCTCGGGGGCAGAGGGATTGTCACGGGCCACCAGCCCCAGCTCATTTCCTCCTTTTGCTGATGTTCAGTGGTCTCTCTCCCCCATGGCTTGTCGTGCCAGGATGAGTCCTGTTAGCTGAGTTCTCCCAGACCCAGCCTTTCCCCCTGCACCTAACCCAGATAAATCTATGGAGGCAGAAGGGAGCTCATTTGCAATTCGTAGAAATCCCCAGGAATATGAACATTGATCTGAGGCCTCGTTAAACAATTCGTCATTAAGGCAGCAACATATTCAGTGCACTCAGAAATAGGCTTTGGAGGAGAGATTGTGTCCTAATTAGGACACTTATTAACTAGCTGTGAGCCAGGGACTCCTGCCAGCTGTGGGGAGGGGAGGGGAACCCCCATGTGCTGTGGGGCCCTCTCTGAGGGCTAAAACAGAGCTGCAGCAAGTCCCCCAGCCCATTGGGCTCCCAGGGGTGGCCCATGCCCAGAGGGGAGGTGGAAGCAGAAGTGCCGGTGCCAGC